TCATATAACTTTTTAGAGGTAAAAAATAGTAAATAGGTTTTTTAGGTGATTGTAAAAGTTAAGAATATGATTTCTTCAGTTTAATTATATGCAGTTAGGTTTAATTCAAATTTAGGATTTAATACCTGTTTTATTTTGTTTAAATATAAAGTTTATGAAAAGTAGGTATGTCTTTTAGTCATTTAATTAATTTTTTGTACATTTGATTATGTTTTCTTAATTTAAAAAATAAATAAATGGGTAGTTAATTTTCGACGCCACTGTATGTGGTTTTTATATTTTATATTTTTATTTAGAATGAATTAGAAGTCAATTCAAGGATGTCAAGTTATTTTAAAGATACAATACGCTTTTTCGAAATATATGGTTAATAATATGGATATAGTCACAGGTGGACATATACATCCACAGCCAAGCTAAAAGAAAAATACATAATAATTTTATTCATGATTATTGGAGACCAATAAGTGCCTGTGATGATAAGCATAAATTGGTTTAAATCTACTCACTCAAACATAGCCTTTTTAAACCATGAAATGGCTTAAAGTCAGGTGAGCATATTGTGTATTTTGCTTATAGCTGTGCTGTACATATAGCCATAGCCCAGTTAAAAGCAAAATACACAATAATTTTATTAATGGTTATTGGAGGCTAATAAATGCATGTGATGATAAGCATAAATTGGTTTAAATCGACTCACTCAAACATAGCCTTTTTAAACCATGAAATGGCTTAAAGTCAGGTGGGCATATTGTGTATTTTGCTTATAGCTGGGCTGTACATACACCCCCAGCCTAGTTAAAAGCAAAATACACAATAATTTTATTAATGGTTATTGGAGGCTAATAAGTGCATGTGATGATAAGCATAAATTGGTTTAAATCGACTCACTCAAACATAGCCTTTTTAAACCATGAAATGGCTGAAAATAGTGATTTTTCGAAAACATGGATTTTTATTATATTTTTTTGAACTCTTAGCCAATATTACTTGAAAATGTTTTCATTGCCTTTATATAGAGTAAGATCTATGGTAACAAACTACATTAAAAAAATTTTGCTGGCAAGTTGTTCTAAGAATATATGAATTTATAAAATTAGACAATTTTGCCAAAAAATTGCATTTTTAAAAAAAATCCCAAAGACCATTTAGGGCATCAATAACTATATGGTTTAAAAGAGAAATATTTTCTTAAAAATTAACAGTTTGTTTAATGTCGATAGCTTTATTAGCAAAAAAAGTAAAATTTTTTTAAGTTAGGTCTGCATAGTAACTTTTGCGTAGCCCTGTATAAATAGGTGATAGGGGGAGAAAAGAAAAGGGGAGTTTTTTTCACTTCTTGGGTCCATGTCTATTTACAGTTAAAAAAGAAATAAAATTAGAGTATATGAGGTGCACTCATTGGTGGCTAATAAATGGAATTACCCGATAGCAATATTAAAAAAGTTATAAACGATTTTTAAATTGGACTTTTTCGAAGGTATCCTAGATTTAATATTTGAAATGGCTATAAAATAGCGCAATTTTTTGTAATTTAACCAACTTTGCATCTCTAATGGTTCTTGATATGCTAATGGGGGGAGAAATGAAATTGGTATAACCCTGTATATAAAAAAATCTGACATTTGTTAGAAACCACACTTTTTTCTAATTTAAAACCCGATTGGTTCAAATCAAAGTGAATATTGAAATCAGCCAATTACTGATGCTTAACATTGTAAATAATGAGTTCATTATACCTGTTGTTATAATGGTTACCATTATATAGGAATAAACCCAAATTATGCCAATAATATGGGAGTAAAAATAATATAGAATAAAATTTTGGAAATTTTTCAAAATCAGGGAATATTTAAAAATTTGGGAAGTTTTTATGTATATTTTAATAAATAAGATAAGTTTTGGCAAAAATCAGTGCCCGTAGGGCCATGACAGCATGGAGCGTCAAGCGCACTGAGCAACTAAAACTGCGCTAGAACAACGCTGACCTCTATATAATAACAATAATATAATATATCAAAAGGTTGCTTGCGTACGCATGACTGCCTGGGCCGTCAGTCGCATATTTCAGCTACCGCGCATGACGGTCTAGGCCGTCAGCCGCAGTGAATGTGTTAATGTTCGGACGATACCAATTTTCAGAAATATTTGCTCATTTCTTATTCAAGAAATATTAATTAAATTTAAAATTAAAATATTTTATTTTATAAATGTTTACTATGAGGCGCCATATCTTCCATAATTATTTCATTCAATATAAACTGCGCACCACTCAATGTGTCGCGACCAAAAAGTTCGTTCTTTTTCAAAACGACATAACTTTTTATTTTGGTCTGTGATGTCTGCTAGCCTCATCCTCTGGCAATTCATGCTATAGATATGAAGCTCACGGTTTTTCAAGAAAATTTCCTACAGGGTGATATGTTAAACGGTGAAAAATTTCAATAACTTCATCCAAGCCCCGTTTGTAAAAAAAATATTTTTTTTTCGTTTTTACTTTGAAATAATGAAGTATTATGTCTTACCTTCAAACAAGTTTCAAATTTTTCGAATTGGAATCTTAACAACGAAAATATGATTTTTTTTTCAAAAGAGTACATTTAAGGGTTTTTTGAAGGCAATACACTCAGTTTTTTTAGGAATAAGAAGATGAGATGGTGGAAGAATGTTTCTTAAATAATTCTGAATAAGCGACAAGCAACAAACTTCCATTATTTTCAGAGGGGCCTAAGCAAAGGACACTTTTTCAAAATAACATTTTGATAAAAATTTGCGAAAACCAAAACTAAATTGATATTTACGTTCGTGACATGTTTTCTTCATAATTTTGACTGATTGTGATTCAGTTGTCAAATTTAAGTTTCAGATAAAACCAAAATCACCAAGAATCAATATTCGAAAACAATTCCCGGCTGTTAAATGTCTCAATAAAATATGATTGCTGGTTTTTAATGTTTTTTACTGTGTTTTGCATCTTTAGTACGTTATTATCATGTCGCTGTTATTCCAAATTTCGAAGTTTTTTGCATAGTTATACCTTCCTACCTAGATACCTATAGGTATCTAGGTAGGAAGGTATAACTATGCAAAAAACTTCGAAATTTGGAAAAACAGCGACTTGATAATAACGTATACCCCTATCTTACCCAGGTTACTTCTATTCTTTCTTTAAAATTTACGGTTGATTTGAAGATGTTAATTCCCGTAGCTGCAGCAAAGTCTGGCATTTGCATTTTAATCATATAAAGTTTGAAAGATTGAAAGTTATTGTTGTTATTGTTTGTTACATTTTTCTGTTGAATGTTGTAGTTTTGATTATGAATATAACTTCGCATAAAATTTTTAAAAAATAACCAAAAATATTTTTATTTAACTTTATTAACAATTATGTTATGTAATATTATCTCAACCACTCAAACAAATTGCAGTAATTTGGCCCAAAAAATGAATCCCCAAACGGCATTTTAATCATAAAAATGCAAGAAACACGCCAGCAATCTGTTATTAAGACATTTAACAGCAGGGTTGTTTTCGAACAGGGATGCCAACCGTACGAGGTTCCTCGTACAATTACGAGATTTGTTGTCTTTCGTACGAGGTACGAGGACACTATCAACCTCGTACAATTATGTACGAGATTTTAACATTTGCCTTAGACAACTTTTTTGTGGCACAAATCAATTAAATAATTCCCCGGTTGAAAACCAATACCTTTGTCTCTCTTAAAATTTACCGTCCCTATAGTTAGGCAACCCATAACTACCGAAAATCGTTTTATATAACCTGAAGGTTGAACTCTTAGATACGTGATTACAGAAACCTGTAATTTAAATATATCTATAATAGATGCCTGTAATAGATGCCTGTATTCCCAGCAAACCTTTTTCCGTTATTTGTCACCATTAACATTGCCCGTGTAAGAATTTTTAAAACTTTTTAATACAATTTTGCAATGATAGTAATTAAAAACAAAACAATTGTTTAAATATGTTCTTAACATAATCATATTTTAAAGTTATTTTAACATTTTCAAGTAAAAATAAATGTTATGTTTAATAAAATGAATAACGGGCAATGTTAATGGTGACAAATAACGGAAAAAGGTTTGCTGGGTTATATAATATAAAAAGTTACTTTTCTGCAATATTTTTTTATTTTAAAATCCAATTTAAAATAAAAAAAATATATTACAGGGCCTTTTTATATTACATATATATATATATATACCTTACCTTCATTTGCAAGTTATACATAGGGAAAATACATTGTAGGTGGAACAGACAAGTCGAAGTCGGCGCGGTCAGCGCGAAACAAAATTGTTCCCAGAAATTATTTTGACGAGTGGATGAGTAGACTAACATGCGACGTAACAGGTGACCTTGTTTACTGGCGATTAAAATTTTATTACGTCCAAATAATTTCTGAGAACTTTTTCGCTTTGCGCTGACTTCAACTTGTCTGGTCCACCTACAATGTATTTTTTCTATGTATAGCTTGCAAATGAAGGTACGGTATAATTAATAATAATGCTACTGCAATGGATCATATTATTTAAAACATATTTCCTTTAAGGTTTTATGATTTCCATGCAATAAAATATAGGAATGTTATTCCTTGAAATACCTACGTTCCTACAAGTAGACGCCACGAATGTTTGCATATGACTCATTGCGCGCTGCCGTCCGAATTTCGGACTCCGAAATAGTGTTTATTTACAGACATACGTGTGAGTACACTTGCCACTACATCGCATGTCTATGATATGTTCAGCCCGCAATGAGTCACGTTCAAACATTCGTGGCGTCTTAGACTACTGCACAATCCACATTGTGGACTATTGTACAGTACAGTCTGTACTTTTCTGTTTCTTGTCTGTGTAGGTACTTCGTTTAGTCGTACCGGCCGGCGACTCACAAAGATTGCGATAGTTCTACAATTCTTATAAGAAGTTTTTTTTTTAATTCAAAACTTTCATTTGTGTTGTGTTTAGAAGTAGGAATATGAGTGATAGTGACAAAGACAGCGAAAGTTCGGCTAATCTAACTCCTCCTAGAAAGTTACCCAAAAAAGGAGGATGGACAAGAAAAAAGGAAGGAAACACATCATCTCACCATCGTCAACAAAATTTTAGACAGCAGTGGCTTAAGGATCCGGCTTTTAAGGACTGGCTTTTGCCAGACACGAAGGATGTGACTAAAGCTAAGTGTGTTTATTGCCCAGGATCATCAATGGTAGCTGAAATATCTAATTTAAAAGTTCATGCCTCTACCAAAAAGCACATAGGTAATAAACCTGGAACTAGTGGAAAAACGCAAACATTAACATCGTTTGGTTTCCAAAAAGGTGTAGTTCCACCAAATAAAGAAAAAGCTCGTGCTGAAATTAAACTTGCTGCTTTTTTTGCGGAGCATAATATTGCCTTCTCAGCAGCTAACCACTTGACGGATTTATTAAAAGAAATTGTGACCGATTCCAAATTAATAAAGGAAATTCAATTAAAACGAACCAAAGTAACGGCAGTCGTAAAGAACGTTTTAGGAGAAGGTCATAAAGCAGATTTAGCGGCAAAACTACAAAAAACTCTTTTTTCGGTAATGACGGACGAGACAACCGACGTTTCATCGGTCAAAACTTCTTGCATTGTGGTGCGCTATTTTGACCAAGAAGCTCAAAAGATATGTAGCACATTTTGGGAATTATACAATGTTTTTAAAGAAACAGTTGATACTGAAGATATTCCCACAGCCAACGCCGAAAACTTATACAGGGCTCTTATCAGTTCATTATCTAGCCGTAATATCCCATTGACAAATGTAATAGGCTTTGGATCAGATGGATGCAATGTTATGATGGGTGATATTGACTCGGTTAAAACCAGACTTATACGGGATTTTCCAGGAATCATAATAGTAAAGTGCGTTTGTCACTCGGCCCATTTGTGTACTAGTGAAGCTTGTAAACAGCTGCCTGAAGGTGTTGAACAACTAGCACGGGATATATACAACTTTTTTAGGTATAGCGATAAACGCCAATTTGACTTTCGTAACTTCCAGTCGTTTGCTGCAGTTGAACCCCACAAAATACTAAAACCCTCTCAAACTAGATGGCTTTCTTTATTAGCAGTGGTTGAAAGGATTGTAGAACAATGGGAGGCCCTACGTCTGTTTTTTATCGATTTTACAACAAATCGTGAACATAGGGCGAAAGCAGATGTAAGGAATCGGGCAGTAGCTATTCTTGAAAAACTTAGCAACCAATTTTACAAACTTTATTTCTCTTTTCTTGTTTGGTCGCTTCCTATATTTAACAAATTTAACCTGGAATTTCAGAGCGAGAAAGTGGTTGTTCACAATCTTCATGTGAAAATTCGTGAACTTTACACGGAAATCCTTTTGCGCTACCTAAAACGGGAATACGTCATGAGATCAAACTTGGAAGAAATAGATCCTAAAATTCAAGATTGTCAATTACCGGACAAAGAACTGTATTTTGGGGAGCCCGATCAATTTTGGGTACATTTACTCAAAACTGAAGACTTTTCTGACCTCGCTTATTTTGCCCTATCTACACTGTCTCTACCACATGCTAACGCCGACTGCGAGAGAGTTTTTAGTAAAGTAAATTTACTAAAGACGAAATTAAGGAACAAGTTAATAGTGGAAACCGTTAATGGTACACTCCTTGCAGCAGAAGCTACAAAAGGTCCAAAGCGTGATGGAAACTGCATAAACTTTGAACCAACTAAAGAGATGTACAGCCGCATGACAAAGGACAATTTATACGACCTAAAAAAAAAAGACGATGTCAGTGAGGATGTTCCTGACATCCTATTTAGAGATATAGACTTTGAGTAAGTGGTTCTTACACCGCTTTTTAGGAAACAAAACTGTTAGTTTTTTTTTTCTTATTGTACACATGCGTTGAGCAATATTAAAGTTTATTTTTATTACAATGTGATGTTTTATTCACTTCCAAAATTACAATGGAATGGGTTAGAGGAAAAGTAAATTTTTTTTCTTATTTGCTTTTTTTAAAGAAATATTTTAGTCGACTTTTAATAATATTATGTAAAAATTGATTTTTTAATTATTATTTAATATAAAACTTGTACCTATTAATTTATTATAAAAACCGTTTATTGTTGAACTATTAACAACAACAATTGTTGGAACCACAGTACTCTGTGGTTGGAACACACTAAAAAACAGTAAGATAATCTTACTAAAATTACTAAAATTACAATCTAACGTGGTCGTGTAAAATCCTAGGATTGGTAGCACTGCGGTTTTTTAGGGTCCAATATTTGGTTTAAACGTTGCCGGATTTTTTCTACCAAACACACTTTCCGTCTATATTAACTGAAAAAAAAAACATCTTTTTGCTCTTACCCCTTTAATTATAAAATATTTTATATAGGTTAATATTCCCTATTTTTATTTAAAAAAATTAGTTGTAGGTACGAGGTTTAAGAGCCAAAGTACGAGATTTTTAATCATCTCTGTACGAGAATAAAATTTCTATGGTTGGCAACCCTGTTTTCGAATTTTGATTCTTGGTGATTTTGGTTTTATCTGAAACTTAAATTTGACAACTGAATCACAATCAGGAGGTCAAAATTATAAAGAAAACATGTCACGAACGTAAATATCGGTTCAGGTTTAGTTTTCGCAAATTTTCACCAAAATGTCATTTTGAAAAAGTGGTTGTTGCTTAAGCCCCTCTGAAAATAATGGAAATTTGTTGCTTGTCGCTTGTTCAGAATTATTCAAGGAACAATCTTTCACCATCTTATCTGGTTGTTCTTAAAAAGAGTGTATTGTCTACCAAAAAGCCTTAAATCTACTCTTTTGAAAAAAATATCATATTTTTGTTGCTAAAAATTTGAAAACCGTTTCAAGGAAAGATATAATACTTCATTATTTCTAAGTAAAAACTAGAAAAAATATTTCTTTTTTCAAACGGGGCTTGAATGAAATTATTGAAATTTTTCACCGTTTAACATATCACCCTATAGAAAATTTACTTGAAGAAGAACCGTAAGCTTCATATCTATAACATGAATTGCCAGAGGATGGGGCTAGCAGACATCACTGACCAAAATAAAATCGTTAAAGAAACAAAAAAGTTATGTCGTTTTGAAAAAGGACGAACTTTTTGGTCGCGACACATTGAGTGGTGCGCAGTTTATAAAATGTTTTGCAGAAAAAAATAATATTCTTACCTATAAGTAAAATTTACTACAATTTTGCTTATATATATTTTAAAATATAAGTTTTATATAAGTTGATACGATTCAGAAAAATATATATATTAAATTTAGCACCATGCAAAGTTCGATATAATTTTTTTTTTAGTTTGAATAGTCCCTTAGCGTTCATGATTTTTGTTTGTGTAGGTATAATTAATTTAAATACCTACCTATCATTAATAATATCGATGAACTACTGTAATTACAGCCGTATAATTTACAAATCAACCGCCGTTATCTAAAAAATTCGTGGGCAAATGATGATTTTTTTTAATTCGAATACTTTATTAATGAAACACACCATACACAAACAAAAATCATGAACAGGCAGCGCCATCGCTCGGGGACTTTTCAAACTAAAAAGTTTTTAAATCGAACTTTGCATGGTGCTAAATTAAATATATATATATTTTTTGAATCGTATCAACTTATATAAAACTTATTAATATTTTAAAATATATCAGCAAAATTGTAGTAAATTTTACTTATTTATTATTTTTTCTGCAAAACATTTTATATATCGAATAAAATAATTATGGAACATATGGCACCTCATAGTTTACAGACTAAATATACAAAAATTAGGTTTTATTTAAACACAAATTGCACACTAAAATAAACCAAATAAAAAAATAATAAATTATTTTGGCGATCAAGTGATTTGAAGGTTTAGAACGTCATTACATCTCCTTTGGCCTTTGGCTCTTTGGCCGGCATGGATTCCATTAAGGATCTACAATAATCTGGTGTAAAAGTTTCCTATATTTGTGACAATTTTGTGGTTCATTGAGGATTATTTCTTAAATAACTTTTCATGCGGTCCACAAGGTTTTAATAATATTGAGGTCTGGACTACTTAAAGGCCATGACAAAACTTTCATTGTGTGTTTTTAAACCATTTTTTGGTTGTTTTGCAGTGTGGCTTGATGCTTCATTTGTTTTGTAGTATTTGCATTAACTATTCCAACTATTATTTCCATATGCCCCACACCCTTTCCAGATATACACCCCCAAGTCATTACCCCCCTTTGCAAATTTTACAGTCCTTTTTAAACAGTCTTTATGGAAGGCTTCAGTTTTATCCCGAATAATTCGTTTCCTACAATCACCTACAAACACGTCAAATTTAGATTCATCGGTAAATACGACTTTTACACAGTCTTCTGCTGTCCAGTGCAATTTAGACTTAGCCCAAATTAGACGGTTTTTCTTCTGTCTTTTTGTTAATAGCGGTTTTTCTTTTGCCTTAAATAAAATAATTAATAAAGATTATAAAAGTTTAGATTTTTGATGTATTTTTAATAAAAACTAGAAATTTTTTTATACCCTATAAAAACTTATTCCGGATTTATGAATCAACTGTCTACAACACTCTCGCGAAATGTTTAGCCCTGTTCCTTAAAGTGGATCTTCGATTATTTTTGCAAATCCTTACGAGCTGCCTCCTCATTCTAGGAGACACTTTTCTTGGCTGCCCGGTTCTTTTACCCCGAATTTCGTAACCAATGGTTTTCTCGTAATATTTTATAATGTCTCCCACAATCCATGGATTGTGATGTCTCCTATAGTAGATTTAGCCAAATTTAATTTGTTTCAATAGTTCCCATGCGCTTTTCTTTATGGTACTGTCGTTGAGTGAAGAAGACCTTAATCAATAGTACTGTTTTATTAAATTTTTTGTAATGTCTTTAGAAGTAGCCTTATAAGGCTTATAAGGCTAGTATACCACAGGACATTTTAAACACGGTAAATTAAAGACCATTATAAAACAACGCCACAAGATTAATTAATTTAACACTTCTTTGATTTAAATTATAGCCACAATTTTTATTTAAATAAAATCTTATTTTTGTATATGTAACTTCTAAGCGTGTAAAAAATAAAATATTTTAATTTTAAATTTAAATAATATTTCTTTAATGAGAAATTAGTAAAACTCTAAAAATGAATTACTCAAAAATGACTAATTACTACAGTTATTAGTGACTGCTTTAACCATGGATACCATGGTATACCCAACATTTAATAGCCAATTCGTATGTAAAATTGTCCCATGAATCCGAAAATACTTTCAAATATTTTGAAAGTAGGGCAGTTTTTGAGATATAATCAATTCCATATTATATGGAAAATTGACTATATCTCAAAAACTGTTCTACTTTTATAACTAGACGACATTTTCGGATTCAGGGGACAATTTTACATAAAAATTGGCTATTAAATGTTGGGGATACCATGGTATCCATGGTTAGGCATGGTATAAGTGAAAAAGCAGTCACTAATAACTGTACTATATAGTAATTAGTAATTTTTGAATAATTCATTTTTAGAGAGAATATTTCTAAAAATTGGTATCGTCCGAACATTGGATTGTTAGGCTAGTTAGAGCCCCTATTATAGTATAATACTCTTTTTACGATAAATATTATTATAAAAAATAATGTATTACTAATTATACAAAAATAAAGTAACTACATTGGTGTTTTGAATCTGTTTTACCGGCTTTCAAATGTCAGTGGTCAATTTTGTCTTTAAAAATTGAAATTTATGCCTTAAAAATGGACTAGAAACCATTTAAATTTGATATAGAAGCAGTTTTTTTATAGTGGAAGTGAAGAGAATGTTTAACGGGTACTCCAGCCAAAATTGTTAATGCTTTATCGACAAATACTAGTTTTTATTGCCGCCTTAATCAAACGTTCATATAAACTCTTTGAAGATTGGGGTCAAGAAACTATTTTGTAATTTAGTATTTTTGAATTGATTTATTATTATTATTATATCTTAGGAAGGGCACTTTATTTTGACGAGTATATGAAATTTGACAACTGTCAACTTAACTTAGAGTTAACTTTAGCCCATGACTAAATATTATAATAATTATACGATAATGCAAACTATTATGTACAAGGATGATATTTGCGTCTCCAGTAGTAGCCAGACGAGAGACGTAAATCATCTGAGTGAATTATGTGGATAATCTTGAGTGTAATAGTATACTTTATCTACTCCAATTAGGGGACCATTAATTACGTGAGGTATAGGGGGGGAGGGGGTCGAGCCAAACCTTATCCAATCTCATGTGGGGGAGGGTGGTCTCGGCAAATATCACGTAAATTTTTTTCCCGAAAGAAACACTGTAAAATTGCGAAAAAACTGGGTTAAATTAAGTAAAAATTGTTTCTCCACTAAAATAGGATTAAATCATACATAATAATATTAATCGTTGTTTAATTATGCACTGATAGAAAAATGTATTAACTATTAATACATTCATTTATTTGGAAACAATTCATTTATTTAATTAATATAAATAACTCTTAATAAATAATTAAATGTAAAAAAGTTTGGAACATCCAAAAGTGCACTACTCTGTGTAATTAATAAAAGTGGTAATTTGACAGTAAAAAAATATAAAATAAAATTATTATTAAATCAATATTAAACAAATTTATATGCTACGTTAAACTAATTATATTAAAAATCTTAAATGCTAGCCTTAAATATTAAAAAAAATTATAAGCAAATTGTTTTTTTTTTAATAAATCTAATGAAATCAAGCACAGATTAACTTATTTACATTAAAACTGTGCAAGCAAAATCTCA